CAAACCGTAATCGGAGCAGTAACGGGCTCACTTTGTGAGCGATCTGGATCAGCCTTGCAGGGCAGATAGAGCCTCTCTTTCCTCGGCCTCAGCGTCGCTCCACCATAGCAAAGAAACACTGAAATCCTTCGCATTTACCCCTGGGCTGAGATGAAAGGGCAAGATCCTCAGGTGGCAGTAAATGACACAGGAGCTGAGGGCTCCTGCGGCACCCTCCATGCGCGTGAGTGTGTGAGAACAGGGGACAGGCTTGTGGGCAGAGAGTTTCCCAGAACTAGAATTGCGTTTCCATATTTGTGCTCAGTCCCTGCTTTCCCACCTGCTGGCATCATGGACAATGAGTTTCAAGAGCAGCCTCCAGCCTTTTCCATACTCTATGTATTCCAGGGTTTTTCTTTAATGAATAGTGATCACTTTGGAAGGATGTAAGCATGGATTTCTTTTCTCCCAAAACATAAAGAGATACTTATTAGAGTATCAAGCAGATCTTGAAGCCTAAGGTAACTCAGCTGCAATACCTCTGTCCTTCAGAAGTCAGCAGAATACACGGATCTGTCGTTGTGGCACTCTGCAAATCCTCTTTCAAAATATACTGCATACGAAATAACTCGCAGAGACTTAAATACGTTAATAACTTAAGAACCTAAATAAGCTGATATCTTGTGTGACCTACATTAATGGGGAGGCATTATATGGCAGATAAACAGAAAGTTCTCATCTATTGTACAAAATATGATTTATTCATACCATAAACATATTGAGAAAAGGATATGCTCTTGCATTCTGTCTACTTATTTTTCCCACAGAAAAAAAATAAAAATTATGTAAGAAGATCATGCTGGTGAGAAGATATTCATATCACAACAGCAACAGACTTAGACTGCCAGATACTTCTTTATGGTTGGAAAGATACAGAGAAAAGCGCATAGGTTGCACCACAGTGCACCCATAATTCTAACTACCAGCCTAAGAGTGGAGGCAGTTCATAGAAGAGGCTAACGACTTTACCCTGACTGATATCATTGCATTAATAAAAATCATCAATAAAAGCATCAATTCCAGCTGTACTGTAAATGAGACAGTGGCTGAGCGTGCACTGCAGCTGCAAGATAAGGCACTAGAAAGATATCTAAATTTTTGGCTAATTCTAGATGTCAAGATAATTGGATTTTCCAAATTAAACCTTTCTGTAGTTAAAGAGGATTAAGGTTAGGGACTGTAGCAGGGAAAGCTACTGTCACTGTTATAAAGAATTTTTGCTACAGTGCCATTTTTCTTCTTCTATGTCTGCTCTAAGCAGGCAAAATGGCAAGAGCTTCATAAAAATATCAAAGTAGTTGTATCATTTGCCATCAAAAGTTGGCATGGGAAAGCTTTGTTTCTTGTGCAACTACCAATGTATTTTATGAGCTCTTAACAGAATTTTAGTAGATGTTGAAGGGACAATAGAAGATTGTTTAAGTTTTAATAAAAAGTCTGGGAAATGTAGCATTACTGGATGTGGTAAAATGTAAGGATATTGCAGAGGTGCTCAGAGAAGAGAAGTATGTGGTGTTGGGTCTAATATATGCCTAAACTCTTGATCAAAACAAACTTTCTTGTTTAGGAATGTCTTTTGACTTTTTAATTGTCGTGATAGCAATGTACATCCCTCAAACCTTGTGAACACTTGTGTTTCATGAAGGAGTTAATTGGTATTTTAGTAGAAGTGTCGATAGTATAAATACACCTTGAGACACTTTGTCTCCAGATGGTTTCTCTGCAGACTTTCTCTGATTCCCCACACTTCCAAAACAGGGATATAAACCTCCTGACATAGCAGAGCATGAGTCAGTCCCGTAACTACAAAAAGAAATCTTCCCTATCATCAGGTTACTCTGCAGTCTCTTCTCAAGTGAGTTCTTGCATCTTTGCTCAAGCAATAGATTTTGGCTGCTGCTGAGGTAAACCACCAAATTCAGTAGATTCACGTCAGTCATAGTTCTTACATTATTGTGCATTGCTAGGGGAGCTCTTTCTTACAGTTTAAGGTCGTCTGAAGGACTTCACTGTTTCTAACTCTGCTGGAATTGAAGGCTGGAGTGTAGCACCATGTGATGAGATATCACTGCAGAGCTCATTTGCAAGATATGCAAAAGAAAACTCATCTTTATCATCTTTATTAGTTTAGCAGCTACCCCCATACCCATGAAAGAGCCTGACACTTCTTCCACTCCAAGGCCAGAACAGCAACGTCCTCCCTGATGTCTCTGAGAAAACATTGCAGAAAGGACCCTTCAGATGCAAAGACATCAAAACCCATGCAAACGGGAGAAAACAGTTGTCATGTCCTCTCTGCAAGGACTGTCTTGAAAGTCCATTGGAGCCCTTGAAATCCTCTCCACAGTGTGACTATATCTTGAGTAGCTGCATGGTGTACAGCACAACAGATGATGTTCTGTAGGCATCCCTGTTTCCTGGACACGTTGCCAGATACTCATCCACAGATACGGACTTCAGTGCATCAAGGCTTAAGCAGAAAAATCCTTAGGGATTCCACCATATAAAGTTTTCTCCTCCAAAGTTTTTATGAGCTGAAGTTTTATATCCTTAAAGACTTTACCCCATAAAAATCCAAGAGGATAATAAAACAAATAGCATCTATGTCCAGGGTCAGGAGCTTAGGGGAAAAAAATGCTCTTGGGTAATAATAATACCTTCAGTAGCAGTATTGACCAGAAACTACGGATCTATTATTTTCCCCGTTGGCTGACATTTTGCCGTTATTGCCCTCTGAGCTAGTCACTATTTGCATGCTGTGCAGAGTAGCCATGGGTACATAGCAATGCAGAGATATTACAGGTGTGACTTTGAACTGTTCTTGAGGATGATAAAGACAAAAGTGAACTTTGCAGAATACAGAGCTTGCCTGGTCCAGCCACTCAACATTTTCATCTCGCTGCCTCACTGCATGTATTTTAAATCTGAAGTGTGTGGATACACCCAAAACCATATTCACATGCTCATATTAATCCAGATTAGGAAAAGGCTGCCAAGCTATAGAAAATAAAGAGAACATCTCGCACAAAATAGGGCTGACCTAATTCTGTGCTTATATTTACACATGAAATTCAGTAAAACTTGAACAAGTAGGCCTCTGCTTTTTTTAAAAATGTACCTTGGGAAGCTAGATTGGTACCATTGTTTTGCTACTGATCCTCTAAGGGCCCTGAGCATCAAGATAATTAAAGTCCACAGAAATATGGAATCCTAAAATCACTTTCCTATAAATCAGTGCGGACTGGTAAGTATTCCCGCAGGGAGGAACGGGTGCAGATCCATTCATGGGCCCCCAAGCTCTTGGCAGGAGGACGCACTTGCTGTTTTCTGGTCTGATACCTCCAGATCTGTGGCATTACCTATGGATAACACGGCTGTGCCTACGGAAAGCTGGAACTCCTTCTCACCAGGGAGGGAATGTTATTACTGCCCTGAGTGGTCATGATACTATTACACACATTTGAAGCTTGTTAATTTTCCAGGGCTAAATACCAGCCACTCCAGACTGCTTCCATTCCTGTAAATGCAGGATAATGGGCTGACTAAATATAGTAATCTAAAATATAAACAAATCCCCAGTGATACCCTCGACATCCAGGCAGAGTATTCAGTGTAAGAGCACTCAGGGTACGTGTATGGCAGCCTATCTCAATATCTGCACAAAACAATTATAGCATTTCTATGGTATTTCTGCATGCCCCATACCAATAAACAGGACGGAAATAAACTGGAGTAAGACCTTATCAGAGGACCTGTTGCCTAAAGCTGTTAAAGAGAAGGACATAGATACTTAACTAATTGGCACTCTCAGCCTTCCATCCTGGCTTGGTGGGAGCAGCCATCAGCTAAACAAACGACTCACCAAGGCACACTATGTCTTGGATAGTTTTACATAGGTGAAGGATAGACTAGAGAACAAAAGTGAGGACTTGTCAATAAAACACCAAGCTAGTCCCACAGTGATACCTTCTGTGAATCACTTCAGTGTATAAGGTGATCTGGGAGATTCATACACCCTATTAAAAATATATATATCTTTTCCTCTCATGTCTTTCTGACCATCTCTATTAACTTTGTGTTAGTATTGTTGCTATGTTTATGCTTTTGCCAAGATACATTAATGAAGCCTTGTGGTGCCCCCAGTTTCCAGAAAGGACTGCCACGTCAAGAAGACAAAAACTTTGTTAGCAACAGATGGAGCCAAAGCAGTGCTGAATGTGGTCTTACCCAAACCCTCGACCCAGGAGGAGCTGCAGCTCAACCGCCCTTGCGCTGATCGAAACGAGTACCGAGCAAGGCTGTTTCCAGGCTGGCAGCTCCTCCTGGCAGTTCCAGCACCAGTTCATTGGGGTCCACTGAGTGTGAAATCCACCTCTTTGCACAAGACCGGCACAATGCATCACTTGAGTCATTTTTAAGGGATGACAAGGTTCATAAGCTTCGTGTTGCCATCTGCACAAGAGTGAATTCTACTCTTAATGCAAACGGTGTTTAAATGCAATATTTTAAGACTAATATTGCGTATAGGTACGGTGTCTGATTCATGCCAACCCAAGGGGTAATATGAATGCTTAGTATTGTTTAACCAGCTCCCAAGGACCGAATAAAACCCTCAGATGAAAGATGTGACCTTCATAGAGCATGGAATTTTTTCTTTTCATCTAAAAGATAATTTACCTAATACTTTTCTCCTCATTGAAGACATAGGCTCGCTGCACTGAAAACTGTTTACAAATGTTCTTTCTCCATTAAATTGATTTTCTGAGTATAGATAGGCAGTGTTTTCTGGAACTAATTTAAATTCCCCTCTAATTAATATTCAAGACCAAAATATGTTATCTTTGCATGACTGTGCAATTATTAAGGGAAAGTATCATCTGTAAAAGTAATTATTTTTCTTTTTTCTTTTTTAACTCGCCATTAACCAACATGAAATGTATCTTTTCTTTTGCCTTTTTTAGGCTATGATTGAAGAAGCCATCACTAGACACGTATCTTTTTCAGTTATGTACACACCACTTGTGACAGAAGACAAGGCTGAGACACTAAATAACGTGTTTGCTAAAAAGCACCCTGATTATGTGGAGCACATATATACAGGTAACAGCAGATTTCACATGCTCTTAAGCACTGTATACTGTTCCAGTGTGCGTGGCTGACTTTAAAAGAGTTTGAGAGAGTCTGGAATTTGAGCTCCAGACATTTCTACACTTTGGGGGGGGGGGGGGGGGAGTGGGGGGAACTAAATTCAGAGATTTGCTGTGTGATTGTACATGATTTAGGTAATCAAGCACTTGGGCAAAGTACAGACTTTACACCGCAAGTCCCCGTAAAGATGACTTTTATCCACGAAGCCCCATGTTTCCATTGTTGAATTTCATTATTGCAACTGATCTTCTGTTCAAAGGTAGATTTGCAATGTGTTGTGGTGACAGCAAGACCCAAGTTCATACCCATCTCCATGGATTTCCATCAGATACCGATGGTCACCCCTGCAGTAGAGCCTTCACTTTCCAAAAATACCCTCCCTTCTGGGAGCACTAATGGACTGACCACCACCTTTGAGCCAGCTGCTGGCACAGCCAGGTTTCCTTTAGCCTGTTGAAGACAAATAGGATCCAGAGTGAACAAGGGTTTTGCAGAGCCAATTATCATCTCATGGCAAAGTGAACTCAAATAGCAGCTCCTGGAGTAAACAGATGCTTAACTTCTGGTGACCACAGCCTTATTTCAAGAGGAATGGGCGTGACATTTTGGCAAAAAAGAGGCAGGGGGATAAAAGGCATTTCTTACTATCATTAACCTGCTGACTTGGAACATAGTTGACCCTGATAACACTTGGCTTTGAGTTGGTGATTGAGAAACACAAAGGAAAAAATACATTTCTCAAGTCAATATCTGCAAAGCCTCTATCTTCGTCGCACAAACTAGATGTGTAGCTCACCCCTCACTGCCACTTTCAGCAGGGTGATCCAAAAGGCTGAGGTGCTGCCATCTCCCCTCCCTGTAAGAGTTACACCCAGGTCAGAGACGATGGCTTAGTCCTCACACCACCACTGAGCTCTAGTACTCTGCAGATAAATAAGGCTTCCAAAAGGATACACATTGCATTTTGGGGGAGGAAAAGAAAATCTATTTGAAAAACACAAATAGGAAACAGGGAACCAAGTGTTCACCAGAAAACTGTGCAAATATTTAACACAAGTAAACTTCTTTTGTTCATTTTTTAATTTGCTCTAGGAAACCAGTATAAAATTAGATCATGTTTTGCAAGTTTCAGACCACCCATGTATTGCATTTCTGGCAGTAGCTTTGAGGTTGTTCAAAGATGGAAAACCAGGACTGATCTATCACAGAGGTTGTAAAATCCCTCTCTACAATTTACTTGCCGATGTGACTTTGTGGAGAATTTCCTGGGACAAAAGTATTGGCATTAAAAGGAGCATAAAAATAAAACTCCCTGAATCTGATTTTAAAAAAGATAAATTCATATTTCACATAACCCCCTCAATTTACAGCAAGGGTGAGACTTTCAGGAGCACATAAGCAGCAAAAGTGTGCAAATTTTGCACAGAAACTCAGTTTGTGTTCATAAATCACTGAATGACTCTGAAAGTGTCACCAGTCATTTTCTTACTCCTCCCAACAAGGAAAAGGAAGAAGGAAAAAAAAAGGAGGGATAAAAGATCCCAGTCCTATAGTATTTTAGTCAATTATAAAACAGATTGAATAGAGCCAGTTCTACCTTCAGATATGTTTGTTTACAAATATCTAACAGTTAAAAGAATTGCTTCGATCTTACACAAGTTCCTCTGAGTGCAGGTTCTGGGATCACTGAAGTTTTTAGGAATTAAATGGGACAAACAGCCAAGAAAAAACAATATGGGTATCAGAGTTTTGAGAGTGCAGTAGCATGAGAGGTCTCACACAGGCGGGACCTCTCCCGATCACCCTCCTTTCTGTCCTGGAAACCCTCTCAGACAGAGCGGACGCAGCACCTTTTTCTACACTCGATGCTGAGATAACTCACAACAGTGTTAGATGAAGTCAACCGAAGCAGTAGGGGTTTCTCAACTCATTTCTTCAGATTTGACCTAAAATCACACTGCCCACCAGTAAAAACGTCACAAGCAACAAGTTTAGCTCATTGTCAGTGTGGTACCACTGAGCGTTCAACCTGCAGATCTGTGTCTCACATAGGTGAAATTAAAAATATCAGCTAAGCCCCATTTTAACAGCAGGTGTGAAATACCAGACGTCTCACGAACATGTTATTTTAAATAACCTTCCTATTCAGTAACAATCATTCATCCATCCAATTTTAGTCAAAGTTCTGCTAGAGTGTAAGGACTGAACTGATTTCAGAGTTTTCCTTCCTGCTAAGGAAAAAGGGCAAATACACATTTAAATCCAAGAGTACAATGCAGTTTGTTGCAAAATTGAGAATCAATCAGAAGCAGAATATGCTGCAAGGGAAATATCAGGTCCACTCGCTTTGATTTATATAGGGGTAGGTCCAGAGAGCTCTGAGTTGGGTTCTCCATTTGTCACTGTGATCGCACAGCCTGGCATCTTAAAAGCAGAGCCTACCGAAAACAGAGCACTCCTTTGTGAAAAGTGACACTGACACTCAATCTAGGTTTATTTTTTTTTGCAGGGGAAGGGGAGGGAGGAAAGGACTGGTCTGGTTCCCTGAGCAAAGGTGGTTTATACGATTGCTCCGAGCATCTGTCCTCCACTGAGGTCAGGGCAGACCACCTCAGCTGATACACGAGTTTTTTGGCAGTAACAGTCACAAACTCTGGACAAGCCACAGCACAGGCTGTCACGTGCCAGCTGGGTGGATCAGAAAGGACATGCAAGAAGCCTGAGGTTATGGTGGTGGTGATGGCAAAAGCACAAATCTGTAGGAAATCAAACCTCACGAATTCAGGGAACAACAAAACAGCTTCTTTTGCAGTTAAAAGATCAGGATGTTATGCTGCTGAAGCATTGAGTTGTTAATGCTTTGGAGGATCAGCATTGAAAAGTGCATAAATGGAAAGAACATGTTTTATCTTATGCATCAGCAAAATTAAAGCTGTTGATGCAAAAGGTTGAAAAGTCTGGAATTTCAAAACCCAGTTACAGCTGGATGGGTTGGTTTGGTCACCTTTGTTTCGGCAAGCTTTCTGGATTACTTTTCACTCCTTAGGCTATTTTCCTTCAAGAAAGTAACTTATTTTACAACTGAAAAGAATTGTCACAGTGGAAATTATTTTCATTTTCCCACTCCAGAACCTCATGGACGTCACATCTTGCCACAGACGTCTGACTGGCCATCTCAGCCTCCTCAGCAGTACTCACTGACTCTGGGTTTCAGAAGCAAACATGTTGGAAAAATCTTGGAAAGGTGGTCAAGGAGAAAACTGCCAATCTTCTCAGGTACACCAACTTACTTAATAGCTGGGGTAGCTCAGGGGTGACATCCATGATCCTTGCTAAATGAGGGGGGTCGGGTGGGTTCTCAGGACCCCTTTCTCTGTGCCAGCAGCCCTGGCTGTCCAGACAGCTCTCCCCCTCCGCCTCTCTCCTCCTGCACTTTACCCATCTTCTATCTAGACCCTCTATGGAAAATGTATATGAATAAATAGAGTATATGGTTTTATGATTTCATTTCCTAGAGCGGAGATCACCATACACTTCTTTGACAAAGGAAGAAGCAGAAAGATCCTGGAATATCACTGGGAAAAGGATCGTGCCAATAATGGATTTTATAAGAAGCACCAAATTAACTGTGAGTACAAAATTCACTTTCTGCTGTGCAGTGTGTATGGCAGCAGAAGCCTGTGCATGTGTGAATGACGTGTGCTTTTTGGTGGGTAATTCACTCTGCACATGCTCCTCCTGTGTCCAGAAATGCTCAGTGAATTGCATCAGGAACACAGTTCAAATGGGGTTTAGATACTTTTTTAAAGTATCCCTAATTATTTAACAGTGTATTCAGTTAATTTAAAATCACTCTGCATGCAATTTTCTCAAAACGTTATGGCCTATTATACTATATCTGTCCTTCACATAACCACCAAAACTATTTGCTATATTTAATACCCATAGTATATTGCACATATCACCAGGATCTCCATCAAGAGTTAATAATTGCTGCTTGAAGCATTTCTAGTAATCCCTGTGTAGTGAAGTATGTGAAATAACCTTCAAATCTGTTACAACTATATTGGAGGTATATTAGTTAATTCTACTCCATACTTTCTGCAATAATGTACACAGCTTTTTAGCACCGTGGCTTTTGATTAGCACAAAAGGTCAAAAATCAAATTTGCATGTAGACTAGACTCTTTTAATGCAATTCTTAAATTATTCTCCTGAAAATAAGTGGAAGAAGCCTTTCCTCCCCAGATTGTAAATGCTAATGCTAACGCTTTTTCCCTAGCAATAACAGTTTTTTAGTTTTCTGTGTGTTGAAGGAATCAGAGCCATTTCCTCGTCAGGGGTGTCTTAGCAAATCACAGGATTTATATTCTTAGGTTTTGATACTAGATAGGAGGTTGACAAAAACTGCTACTTAGCAACCCCTAGCAAGGCAGAAACATTAGCTAGATATTTGGGGAAGCTATATCTCCTTTACTTTCTGAGAGCAGCTGCTGAAACAACAGTAAGTGCTTGAACTCACATGCTTAGTGGGAGGTAAAGGTGCTTAGTGCTTTGCCAAAATGGGTGCTCATAAAGCATCTGCACCGGTGTGAGGCAGGTGGAGCAGGCTGAGAGCAGACATCCCCAAGGAAACACACAGCTGCTTCTTTCCAAGTCTTTCCCGAAGCCATGTGCTATTGGCTTTGGATGACGGAAAGCCCAAGTTACTGATGTGCAGGCTAATAGAAGTGGCATCTTTGGGAAAGTGAAATATCTGTTATTGCTGTGTGCATTGCACTTCGGCATTTGAGAAGCTAGAAGTAGAAACAGACAGTGGGTTGGATACTGGATACAAAATAAAACCCTGGTCTTTCTGAAAGCCCCAGTAAAACTCCAAGTTTTAAAATTTTAGTTTGACCCCACAGTTCTCTCTTTGGGTATAACACAGAGCTTTTAGAGGTGAGACTCCTCTGTTGCAGTTACCCAGTCTTTAAAGAGTGTCAGGAAAAGAAAACACTTTGAAATCAGGTATCTTTTGGATTCCCCATAACTACTCTATTCCATAAGTTAATTTGGAGGAACGGGACAATATGGTTCAAGCAGAGATACGTGGTATCTGGTATCCATGGTACAGGGGAAAAAAAACCCAAACTCATCATGTAGGAGATGAGAGCAGAGTGGTGTGTTAGGGTTGTTCAAGCCAGTCCCCACTAGCTGTATGAATTTATGCTGCTCCTACACAGCAATATTTTCTACCAGCTCTAGACCTCACCTCATACATTTAAATATTCTTGCTGAAACAGGAGGGCTCCCAAAAATACAGAGTGAAATCCCAGCACTGCTGAAGTCAGCAGCAAACTTGCCTTTTTTTCCAAGGAGGTCGGCATAGCATCCCTGCGGTTCAGGCAGGGTGTACCCCAGTGCCGCCTTTAGCAGCAGCAAGAGTGGGATAACAGGTCTGAAACATGGTCCTACAGATTTATAACCAGCCACCACGGGGTCAGTATGGGAGCTTTAATGGAGAGGAGGAAAGCCCCAAGATAGAGGAAATTATCACCGAGTTAGAACAAACAGCTGCCAATTCCACATCCATCGTTGGTGGAAATATATTCACTTTCTCTTCAGTTTTCATAGCGTTGAATGATCCAGGCAAGACAGAACCTCTGACCCAACAAGCAAATGACAAAGCCAATTATACCTGATAATACAGATAGGCACAGAGCCAGGACTGCTCTGCTACTGGTGATTAAAATCTCTTTATGGGCCAGGCAGAGATTTGGCCACTTTTGCTTCCTTGAAAGTATTCCAAAATTTTCTTCAAGCTAGAAATATGATTCCATCATATTTCCATCACACACAAACTAAATTAAAAACTTCTGTAAGACAAACTTCAGATACAGACCCTAGCTTTACAACTTACTTTAAGATAAAAGAATATATTTGTGTTTTAATAGAACAAAGATTCCTTTCTGCCTTTTCCTTGATTTGCAGATGCAAATGTAAAATCCAAAATGCTTGTCCTAATCAGACTTTTTTTGACAAAAACATCTCAGTACTAAAGCAGGGCTTATTAAGCTATGGCAACACTTAATATAAGTCAATTCTGCCACCTCAGTTTTGCAGCTACACAACCTAGAGTTAATACTATGATTTATACACACACCACGGTTGGTAAGATGTGAAGTTAAAGGTTAAAAAAAGAGTACTTTCTATTGTCCCCTCCTTTCTTCATAAAGAGCAGCCAGTCTCACTTAAATCAAGGGGACATTTGTGTGTTTTAAAGCAAGAAGCATTTGAGAAAAAAATGTCACAGTCATCATCATCATCAGCTGCTAGTGGGGAAATGCCATAAACCTCATCTACCCAGAAATACATACCACGACACAAAGGTTATTCTATTTGTCTTAAAAAAAGAGATATCAGTCAGACCTTCTGCCACTCATATTCCAGTTAAGATTACCAGCACTGACAAGTGGTTATTCTATCAAGCAATTTCACTGGGGTAATTTCTGCTGCTTTGTACACACCAAGTTTGCCTTTCTCCTGTTATAGTCCCGTGTCGACGGCACATGATGCTACTTAACAGGAGAAGCAGTGGCCAGAGGGGCTTGTTAGACTGCTCATATTATAAAGGTGAACAAAACCTGCCATATGATTCACAGCACGGTGCGTACATTTACAGATCTCACTGGTTTGTTGTCTATTTTTTAAGTAGAGGTGAAGTGTCTACTCCATAAGAGATTTCAGCATACACATTTTCTGGAGGATACCGAGGGCATTAAGGAAACATTATGATGGACTTTTTCCACTTGTTATTGCAATACACTACAGAGCTGCTTGCAAGGTGTAACTTCATTCAGATTTTGAGCTGAAAAATAGTGGTAGAGACTCCACAAGAGAAAAGAAGAACTACTGGGGGGGCATTCCAGACATTTGCAAAGTGGTGCTCTTAAAGCTAATAGTTAAACACGCCACACGTATTAGGTATGACAGATCCTGCTTTAAATCCAGGCTGACCAGCCACCTCACTTTCTTTTTAATTTAGCACTCGGCAATTAAACTTTACTTATAAATAGAAGTGACATAAGGGATGACTCCTTTCTTGAGTATAGCGAAACCCAAAAAGTGGGGGTATCATCCCAAAACTCTCAGTATATGAAAGGACATATGATTCATTCCTCTCACATGCTCTCCAGCTCCTTTTTGCAATGAAAGCCTGTCCTATCTTGGCTCTCATTTTTAGTGCTGGGTATTTAGCAATAGCAGGTAAGCTCCATCCAGACCAGGCTGATCTGCTTTTTGTAGGTACTTTTTCATCCCAAGGTCAGAGGAATGAGGATGTCACAGGGCTGATCCTTGGGCATCAGGACCTTATTTCTGTCCTAGAAGGAAGGTCTTCAAAGACCTTTCTGGGGAAGGCTCTCTCTTGGGAGGACCCACGCCTGAGGCAAAACTTCCCATATGAATAAAGTCCACAAGAGAAAGTCCCTCAATTGCTCATTTTTATTTTTTTCTTTAAATTCTCCTTGGAATACCAGACAATAGGGGTCTGAGTCCTCAAATTTATACTTCTTTTCTTTGTTAAAGGAGCCAACTCTTTTCCACTGAAGTCTCCATTTAAGTTTGCTCTTTACTTAACCTTCACTGTCCCTACCTGATCTGGTTTCATCTTCATCTGATTGCTTGGCCACATTATTATGTTTTTTTACTGCAGCTTAGTAGCCCCTTGAATCCTGCTATAGTTCATGTAATTCTCATCATGTGGTTCAGCTCCCCATGGAATTTTTTCTCCTGCCAGCAGCAGTTATTTACCTTCTCTTTCTGCATTTTTCATTGTCACTGAAATGCCACCTCTGACAACGTTCAACCTCCTCTAATCCCTTCAAAAAAAAAAAACCTAAACCTGCTGTCAGTTATTTATTTATTTACTTCCAACCTACAATAAACTTCAATAGCATTGCTATGTCCACAGAGTGCATGTTGGCACACATACCCAATTTGTTTCCCATGGCTACGTAGCACGCTTTCCTATTTTTCTGCAAAGTCAAGCAGAGAAAAAAATGTTCTTTTTTGCCTTTACTTTCTTAATCATTGGAGAAGCTCCCAACAGACACAGCATGACGAGAGAGGATTTTTACCTGCTTTCTTAGCTGATGACTCAATATACTTATTTCTTAGTGCTTACACAAAAGATTTTGGGCGGATTTCAAGAAAAAAACCCCCACATACTGCATCTGAAATGTTGTGAGACTATTTCATGTTGATAAGAGCTCTCTTTCTCTCTCATTAACTGATTGCTTCTCCTTAGTTTAATGCACACAGCTCCACCTGGGGACACAGCTTCCTGGCTTTCAAACACTGATGATCAGGTGGAGTTGGGGCACCATTTTGTTCCTTGCTTCAGTGCCGTGCTAACTGGACTGTCAGACTTACAATTTCACACATGAGAGATCACAGAGATCTTTTTTCTTGCTGATGTCCTACTAATAATACTAGGTCAGGTCCTCAGAAAAGGACTCTTCAAGTGATAGAAATAGTTTGTAAGAAGGTTGTCCTCGTACCCCTTCCTAGAGGTGGGTCAACAGAAGTTCATGAGAAGGTAGGCCTGGAAGGGCTCTCCTGGCTCCTCAAGTCCCATCACCTGCTATTACACAACGTTGTGTCACCTAGTATGCTATTCATAAATTGAGTAAAATCCATCTTAGAACTGGTTAGGTTTTCTGCCTTTTCTACTGTTGGTGAAACGCTCTGCAGACCTTCAACCTGAAATATAAGAAGCTTAATTGCCACCCCAGTCTTATTTGTACCTATTTATACACAATGGTCCTTCTGTTATCATTGTCTTTTATCTCTCCTTCCCTTTTCAGTTGTTGGCACTCTTTGGAATTTAGCCCTGCATTATGTTTATTGAGAAGAATAATAAGCTCTTGGCATTTTTATTAATAGACTAATCAAACCACACTTCTCTCGAAAGAGGTATCTCCTACCATGCTGGCTTCCCTGCTCCATGATGCTTGGGTTTAAATTAACCTCTCCAAACACAGCTGACTGGAGCTATCTGCAACACTCCAGAGAACTGCTGACCAGAGCTCCTTTTCCCTGTGCGCTGCCCGATCCTCTCCTTCAGCTAATGGAAGCACCAGTTCATTGGCTCGGCTCTTTCTTTTTCAGCTGCTTTCATATCTGGAGGTCCCAGATAATGACTGCATTCCTACTGGTCTCCAGTGCATGGTCTTTTATTTCACACTATTTTACAATTATATTAGGTATTACACTAAAAGGGGTAAAATTAACTATACCAAGATTATTTCTATCTTTCTAGAGTTAAAAGAAAACTAAGCTTTTTACTACTATTGTTCTTGTAATATGTTTAGAAAGTGAGGGTGGTGAGACACTGGAACAGGTTGCCTAAGGAAGCTGTGGATGCTCCATCCCTGGCAGTGTTCAAGACCAGGTTGGATGGAGTCTTGAGCAACCTGGTCTAGTGGGAGGTGTCACTGCCATGGCAGGGGGGTTGGAACCAGACGATCTTTGAGGTCCTTTCCAACCTTAACCATTCTATGATTCTGGAATATGATACGTTATTAAATTCCTAGACTTGATACAAGAACTATGTTGGTAGTCATTTTGACAACACTTGATGCTTGCCTAGTGAAAATTCCTGCAAAACCACAATCGAGATGAAACCAAATTATCAAGATTCTTTGACAAGAGAAGTTCATTTTAAAAATGGGACACCATTTATTGAAAAATAAATGTCATTCAAAACTGTCTTTTCACCTCGTTCAATATATGATTGAGCCTAGAATCACCTACCTGGAAGTGTACGTAAATGGCAGCGTCAGCATGCCACCATATGTAACTGCCAGAACAAAGATCTGCTAAAAATACTGGAAGTGGTTTTGAAAATCGATGCCAATTCTTGGAATTTCAGGCACTTAAATACAAAACCCTGATGAGATGAATGGAAATTTCACTCGGAAGGGCTGAGCATTCAGATATGCAATGGCTACATCTTGTCGGGAATCTAGGCCAAATTGCTTTTGAAAATCTCAGTAGGGTGCTTATTTGCATTTTTGGCACCAGAATACTTTTGAAAATACGGTGGTAAGGCTGCCATCCATCAAACACTTCAGCAGGTGCTGAGATTTTATGCAAGCACTTGGCTGAGTTTCTGTATTCACATGCTTAAAATTTACCATGTGCTTAGCTGCCTGGAGGATCAGAGACCACCTCTGCAGGTTTTAGTCCCTCAAGGTTATGTATTTGAAACCTATGGATTTGCCTAGTCTGCAAACAAACCATAAGCTGACACTGCACGGTTTCCTCAACCTCTTCGCTGAAGCTTTAAAAGCAATCCATAAAAGTCAGGTAATATTTAACAGAAGGGATTATGGAAAAGCCATTTCCAAATGAGAAAATTGCATTCATGTTTGTTATCTGCTCTCTCCCCTTCACATACATTATGACTGCATATTTATTTTTCTAGTACTACTAGATAGACTGTGGCAAGAAAGTCTGGGGGTTTTTCTTCTATAAAGATTGTCAGCAACATTATCTTAAAGGTGTTGGATGCCATATTGCTTATAGTATTACCAGCACGAATGGATATGATGATAAGCCTCAAGGAGCAGGACTCAAAGGATAAGTGTGTTTCTGTGACTCTCCTCTAACCTACTCGCTTTTGCTGAAAAAACAGGATGATCTCTGCCCGTGTTCACGTGGGATAGAGAAGTTGCATTACGCCAACCTCCTCGGCCGTTTGCAGAGAGTCGAGGAAAAAACCCAAGTGATTAATCAAGCATTGGCTGAGCTAGCAGTTGTTCCCTACCTGCAGGACATCAGTAATAAGGATGCCAAACAGGTAAGTATTTATTTCTAATACTTGTTTTGGCCTTTAGAGGCAGGGAGCCAGGGAGGGAAGGGCTGGGGCAGAGCACTGTGCTGCATTTGCTCTGGACGTCATTTTTTGAATGTGAGGACCTGAAGTAGTTTTAAAATCCTACTGCAGTGCCTTGTAGAGGAGGTGCTAATCACCTGCAAGAATGGCTTTTATAGAACCAGCATGATTCATCTGTAGGCATATTTTTAAAACCTCTTCTTTTCCCCCAAACCTCCCCGAATCAGTCTGGAAAAATGATTGCGATTATTCAGATCATGCTACTTTAAGATATCTAACATCAGAAGCCACCTGCAGCAAAACAGGCAGAATTTAGTTAAAGCTGAGGAGCAGGGGAAAAGGAGACAAAATATTTTCTTTCCTGGCTCCATCTATGACTTGCTCCCTGCCTCTGAATATACCTATCTACCTGCTATGCTTTTGTTTTCCCTTTGTAAAATGAGGGCGGTAATGCTACCAGGGCTGTCGCAAGACTAAAGTCGTTAATAGCTTGATAGTATATCAATAAGCTGCAATCAGAAAGTACTGTGTGGTTATTCTTCCACGAGGCTGTCGGATTTTCTGATGGGGGAGGGAGGGAGCTCACGTACACACAAATTTTAAGCATCTCATTCTAGCAAAAAAAAAAAAATAAAAAAAAAATAGTCCCTCCACAGTCCCTGCATTTAAATGCAGTCCGATTTTGATGATCCAACTTCGGTTCACTAAAAACTCTTGGTTTTCCCAGACTCAGTCCCTTGACATTTGTTTGCAGTCCTGCAAAGCTCCTAAGCTCTGTAGAATTAAAGCTTCACAGCAGCTTGCTTTAGGGAAGACGAGCAGCGGCCTGCAACTGCAGGAGGTGGTTGCCAGGCTTTGAAGTCTGGGCTCAAGATAAGGGGAAACGACACTGCAAAGAAACTGTGTTATTAAAAGACATTCTCCTTGTGATGCACGTTTTCTAGTATGAGACGTTGGCAGGTCCACATTTCAAGGCTGACTAAAGGGTCTTGAGTTATTGGTACATATTTCAGTTATAGGTTTTTCTCCAGGGTACAATATTTTCAGTACATCGCACGTTAGGCACAGGCTATTACGCTGTTGCCTGTATCTTGTCATGTAGTAATCATAAGCCTGACCTCCCTGGAAAGCTTTTTCGAGGAGGCTCTCTGCCACCCAAGACAAAGGTCTCCAGTCTCTTAGGGCAGGACTGGGCAGAACAAGGGTCTGTGCTAGAAGATTTACGTGACAAATTGTAAATCTTTCCAAAAAACATATATGGTTTGTTTACTGAGCCCAAGAAAAAAATGGGGGTTTTAAAGAGTAAAGGCAGAAAATCTCTACCAGCTACCCTGGCCAGAGCATTAAAATGTATTAATTCATCATTCATTTATTTTTCTTTGTCCTGTCATCCCGCTCTAAAATATATCTTTGGTCTGCGTGTGCAAATGGAGGCTCAGATGCTCCGTAGCTAGAATGCTTTAGTAAACTGCAGGCACCACAGTGTTAAGGCACAAGACTGCAAGCAAGAACTTGCAGAGTGACTTCACCAGGGAGTGATTAATGGGCTTTGCCTTTCCTGGTGGCACCAGCCTGCATGGCACAGGCTTCTTTTATGCCAGTAGGGACCGTTTCCCTGCCACATCGCAACTGCATCATCTGCCCATCGTTGGGTCTGCATGCCCAAACCTTCCTGGGAACGAGCAAAAGGTCCTCACTTGCTCAGCCTACTTATCATCCTCCTCATCTCACTGGGATTCAGGCAGGACGAAACATTTGCAGGACTGGGCTGTACGGGTGTGAGTCAGCAGCTCTCAATAGGTGCTACAGAGGCAGCCCCTCCATGTCTATGGGGTCAGGATCACAGCACCCATGCAGACTCCATGTGCTTCTCACTCTTCAGCAGCATTTCCAAGAGATATCTAAATTTTTCCATGAAGAAAACTGAGCTGGCCAAATTCTAATCTCACTTGTACTAATAAAAATTTAAAGTAATTCCTCTGAGGTCATTCTGAGATTACATTGGTAAAACTGAGATAAGACTTTACGACCGAGCAAGGCAGTTAAATTGTGTGAGTTAGAAAATGCTAAAGATGCCAAATGTTTATTATCACATACAGTATAAGTTGTATAAAGTTTAAAGCACACTGAATTTATAATAGTGCAATTTGCACTGATACAGCAAGGATCCCAAAGGCATTTCAGTTATAAACTCTTCTGTGTAAATGTCTTCCTGTAAGTAAATAAATAGAGTCCTAATCTATGGCACAGAGAACCTCAACTGAGGCCTTTTTAGATGAGTCCTTTATTTATTCATAGACCCTGGGAAAATAAAGATTTCAGCTAGCTTGAACAGTTGAATACAAGTGGGGAAAAACCCTGAAGAAAACCTTTCCAAGGTTTATGATTTCCATGTCACCATATTTGTACATCATAAATCAAGATGAAAGCCTGTTAAAAAAGCAGAAATCTATTTCAATGTAGAAATCAAATTAGGATAAGATTTTTTTTTTTTTTTTTTTTTTTTTAAAATACAGCATTTTTCCTTGGAGGGGATTTCCCTAAAAAGATCAACTTTGGGAGAATTACTGTGGTTTGCCAACTGCCTACTCTTGTAGCACGCACATTTTGTCTGCCAGTCAAGGTGGTGAAAAACTTTGGGTGATAAAAATTAAGAAACAGAGCACATGCTGGGCACTTTTCACTGGCATGTATCAGTATCAGCAAAACTTCAACTGGAAAGGTTTCTTGGTTTAGCTTCTTGCCCAACACAGTGAAATCTCCAGCCTGGTTGGGCTGTCCGAGTGGCCCCTTAGGGGTGACAAACCGATGTTCTGGTCCCTGCCCTGTTGAGTACTGTTCAGCCAGTTCTCTGGAGAGAATCACTCCAAGAAAAGCAATGGAGAAATCCTCCCCTTCCCCTGATCGGTTCCTCCTCTGCCTGCTTTGACACAGGATCTGTGCTTTGCCCATTCTGCCCTTAATACCCTTAATCTCTGGGCTGTGTCTATTCTGGATTCCTAGAAGGAGATTATATAAAATTATATAATTTCATATAAAAAATTGCGATGGAAAATTTCTGACAGGTTCTTGACTCTTTGCATTAAAGTCAGAGGCAGAAATCTGTGGTTTTGTTTTTCATGAATACTGCTGCATGACTTAGGAAAAAAAGAATAAATGAAAGTTTTCATCAAATGTATGGACCAGTAACATCCAACTTAACGGTTGCACAAGCACAGAGAAAGCAGGCTGGAACCGCTCATAGCAAATTTATTTAGAAATTCAAAAAGATTCCTGCATCCTTTATCCAGTGTTGGGACACAGACAAAGAATCTTAACATCAAAAACATGAATGCGAAGGTGAACTTGAGGAAATACAGAACTGCTCCTTGAATCTCAAGGCAGCATTTTATAGCTTGCACAGATGAGCCTCAACGCTGACATTTTCAGTTTCATCACCTCATGTACTCACTGCTGCCCGTCTAGGTACAGAAAGAGAAGGCAATTTCTCTATGAATGCTCAAACTTATACCGCCCAACTACTTGTAATGAGTAACAAATTTGTGAAGAAACACCAAAACCTATTGTTTGGGTTTACTTTAACCAACTAAACATTTTGGAATAGACCTAGTGGAGCACAGCAATATCACAGGTATTAAAACCAATTTTCTCCCAGTTTGTTCCTAAATGCCGGTGCTAATGGCTGGTTACAGAAGGACACCCTGGGTCTGTCCCTTGTCTCTCTGTTACTGAATTAAGAGCCACTGAAACACTTTCAAGTGTTTGGGAAGGCTGCAGGGTGAGGCAATGCTATGACTAACCTGGAAGGGTACTGGAGTGAGTCAATGCTACAGCTAACCTGAATTTTAGCCTTCCCTCTAACACTAAGGACTGATTAGCAAGTATTTTCCTATAGCTTGTTTTTATAGTTTACACTAGAAATTGTCAGCCTCGTTTTTATGCTCTGTTGTGCTGAATGATGGGGAGAAGGAAGGGTTTGCCAAAGAAAAAGGATAGTAAAAGGGGAGAGAATGAGCTAGATACTTCCAGCTACAGTAAAAGCATCTCAGCTTTAGTGTTGTCCTCTTGCGAGGTTTTACATGCTGCTTTAAATTATGATACATTAGCCTTGGGAGAAAATACTAAAAAGCATTCATGTACAACACAGAATATCCCAGACAGCTGAAGAATGAAATATGGAGCCTTTATTCTTTACAACCCAAGTCTTCCTTTACTAAGTATAAACATTTACTGCAGGAAAACATATAGGCTTAAATACAAATTTTCCAGAGGATTTTTTCCCATTGTTAAGTATTTTATATCCACAATAATACAGTGTAACGGCTGAAGCAAAGATGAGGTGGCAGTGCTCATTGTGTGAAAGATGAGTAATAAAATCATCAGCGTACAAATGATTTTTTAATTAGGTTTTAATCTGTGTATTTAGAGAAGTTATTTCTGTGTGAATTCCACACTGATAATTTTTATCTTGGTGCCACAGCTGCAGTTGCTAATGGCAGATGCCGTGGACATCCTTGACGGAAGAAGTGAAAGAAGACGTGTGTGGAATAAAATTCAGAGGGTAAAAAACCTGCAGCAAAGGGCAGGACAGTATATTGTTCCTTGGGGAGTAAATGTCCACCTGAGTCATGTCTGTTCAAAAGGTAGAAAAGAAAGTAGGTGCCGTTTGAAGACTGACTGTGTGCCTCGACCTCTGTTAGAGCGTAGGCACTAGCCACAAATATTATTATATGCTGTAGCCCCTATGGTTGATCTTTGTCCATGTTAATAGTCTTATGTGGCTATCTAATGCAAAAAAAAAAAAAAAAGCCCAAACCCCTTAATAGCTTATTTTTGCTTGATAATTATAATTCTTTTCCATCTTTGTCATATGGGATAGTGTGCTAATTGGGGCGGGGGGGTGGGGGGAGTTGTTCGGGAATGAAATTCAGTGCAACAAATTAGGTCCCTTAATGGAGCTCAAATGAGGCTTTGGTGCTGTGAGAGGTAAACGACATGAAAATGCCTTTCTGGAGTCTCTGCACAGCAACTGGTCAATTTAATTCTTAAAGGATTTGCGAAAGGCAGGAAGTCTTGTGTTGGTTCTCTGTACAGATGAATCTGACCCAACGTAGGGAATAATAGGTCAGGCTGGGATGTAATAAGAGTGTCTTACATTTTTACAAAGTCTTTCAAATCAGAGCAAACCATGGCTCTGGGCATTCAACACCATCGACATTCAGCCAGTTCTGAGGAAAAGGACAGCAATGCGTCACCAGGAAGGGAAAATGTTACCAATGGTTCAAAGCATTGGCCTTACCCTCTGTCTTATGGCTCCGTCAGATCCCAGACAGGCACACACTCACTCTGAATTTCTGCACTGGTAGGACTTGAAATTGTCCCTCTTTGGCGTTTAGGGCTTACAGACGTCTCAGGGAAGGTGCTGAAGACCCAAACCCTGGCTGCACTGAGTCAGTGTCACCAGGATAAGCAAATAAGACAGATGTCTGAAGGAAATCACAGGGGCGGAGGGTCAAGGTATTTTCAGAGTCCATACTTCCAAGTGATTGAAATTAAAATTTTAGAAGGCATCCCCTCTGAGAGAAAGTCTGGGTAGGTGTATCACCTCGGTTAGCTGTCAGATTGGTGGCTCTTAATAAAGTTTTCCAGGTACAGAATATTTTCAGAAAGTAACGAAGAATGAAACTAAAAAACAAAAATCTTTTTCTATATTATATGAGAAAAAAAGAAATTAAGAGCATCATCAAATATTTCTTTTCTACTTTACTTTTTACTAAAAGTATATTTCAGCATATTCAGTATGTTCTTAGGAAAAAATTCTCTTTAAATAGAGGAGACGGGAAAACAGGGAGCTTGGGCGTTTTTTTTATTGGATTTTTTGGTCGGTTTGTGTGGTTTTTTTTAAAAACAGCTCTAATTAAGAATGTTACGCTAGGTTAAAGAAGTCTAACACATTACTAAGAAGGAGGATTAAATCTGATGATTAAAAATTGATGTGGTGTGGATTACCTACCACATGTCATTTGTGCTAGAACCATTTTGAGAAGTTCAGTATTTCTCAGTTTGCTCATCACATGACGCTGATTGTAGGAGCCTACAAAGAACTTTCACACATGTCTAGTTACAAGGTGGTTATTTGTATTTTTGCAATTGAATTAATTTACATATATTGGAAACCGAAAAAGAACATAAAGGAGTTTATACAGTCAGCTATAAACGCAAGGCTCGGGAAAGCTGACAGCTACGCTACCACCAGTGAAGTTTGGCTTTTGCAATAGAAACAGCTGTTGCACCTAATGAAAGCACTCAAAATTTTTCTCTAATGCAGCAGAATTATAGCAGTGCCTATTTTCCAAATGGTTGAAGGGTCTGTCAGAATTGCCATTACAAACCACTGTTTTCAGAGTTTTATATTCTAGAGTCAGCCATAAAAAATTCATTCAGGCTGAAATTTGACACAGAAGGGCACAAAGCCTGGCACCCAAATACTTTTCCTTTTGTCACAGTGGAGGGCTTATCAAATTAGTTCAAAATTAATCTGGGCGATTTTGAATTTACAGGATTGACGGAGTAGTAATATATGTGTAGCTTCAAGTGGTTTGGGCGCCGTGCTGCTCATCCAATTCACTAACAAATTTACGTTTTTAAGCAAACTAATTTATCAAATGGGCTAATTAGTTTTGCAAGATTTGATACAAAGAAATTAAAAATTACCTCATAGGTAGCTGGAGAAAAGAGAACATTGCTGCACTGTCTCAGTGTTACCAGGCTACAGACTCTCCAGCCACAAGGAGAGCTGACCCAGGAGAGCCTGGATTTCCTTGGGAGATTAAGAAACATCCTCCTACAGAGGCTTTACCTAAGTACTAGATATCCCTGAAGAATGCCTCAGAGGCAGGAAAAACGGGCCGGGTCAGTCTCCCAAAAATCCCTATTCTCCAGGATTTTACAGCCACTTTTCCCTGCAGGTCCCCTCGCAAATGTGAGCTTTGTGTTAGCGATTTGGGGAAACAGACGCCTGGGTCTAAGATCTTTCAAGCAATTAACAGCGGGACTGAGTCCCAGTCTACTTCAGGAACATGGGTGTTCCTAAAAAACTTTTTTACCATCTTCCTTCTTTTTATAGTTGTCAGAAATTCCCAGACTGAACTTGGTGGCCAGACTGCTGGGCCTGAGGATTCAAGGCACCATACTAGGACTTCGGAATTTTTTTTTTCCCCCCACTTGCTGGCTCTGTCCAAATTGTGTCATAGGTTGAGTCACAAAGGTACTTAAATAGCATGCTATCAGCACTACATGAGAATGGACTTCTCTGAAGCCACTGTTATGAGTGGGAAGCCCACCTAAAGTAGTCAATAGAAAATGTTACGGGAAAGAGCATCAAGCCCTCTCTTTTAAAGAGCCTTAAGTCTTCCCCAGTGAACAGAGATAAAAGGTACTTTTGCTTACTGCACTTTAAAGTGTAAATTCTCTTCTCAATTCAAATTACATTTGAATTTATTATTTTAACAAGACTGATTTAGCCCGGTGGTTTGAGCAATGACCTCTAATGAAGAAGGCTCAGCAGCAATGAATAAGAAACTTCCAAGAGAGATTGAGGGAAAGTAATCTGATAATTCAGCTCGGTCCCACAAGACTTGGTCCAGCCGCTGGGTCTTAAGCGGATGGAGACACTACCGCAATAGCCAGGTCTAGCCATCAATGCCTAGATTCTTTGCTGGCAGAGTTACATACTGTGTAGGTGACATCTGACAAGAACATGAACGCTGGGACTAGCAGTAAAGCTTGACCCTGTGTCACTCAAGCAACCAGGTCTCTGCACGGCCATTGCAGGACTTTATAGCAGCTACAGACAGGCAGAGGGGTTTAGACTATCTGAGACAGATAAAACAGCAGGAAGGCTCCTCCTTTCCTCTATAGGACTTTTGCTTCTCTGCAGTCTTGTAAGGGAAAAAAAATAAAGAAATAAAAAGAGATTACTTTCCTATCTCATAAGAATAAATTCATTAATAAATCCTCACAATATTGGTACAGTGAGAGGCATTTCATTAAATAAATAGATACTTTAGAGCCTATCAACCAGAAACTTTCAACATCCAAAGAGAGGAGAGCCATATAAGTGCAAGTGCCAGTATGGCCCTGCTTCCCCTATGAAGACAATAATGTAGTTCCACTTCTCTCCTCCATTTAGCCCCTAGGCTTTCATAGCAGTTTCACAGGATCCTCTTAACATCATTGTAACAGCCAAAGGAGAGACAGGAGCTGGCAAATAAACACTTTCCTACACTTCCACATGTGAGACACTTCATAAAACCTTCACATCTGAGTTTACCTCAAGGGCATCACATACTTTGCAATTTAGATAAGTTATTATGCCCATCATTTGCTGAGCTCAGTGGAATGCCTGTTTCATAAATCTGAAAGCAGAGCAAACATGGATGAGTGAATAAAAGAACAGATGTAACTTACATAAGGATAAGTATATAACAAAAGCTGCACTAAAATATGTGAATATGAAATGAAGCAAAATTAGCCTAACATATTACATAATCTTTTAGCCAGGCACGTAGATTTTCAGCAGTCGACCTCTGCTTACTATATCTCTGCCTTCTGCGACAGCAGGGGAACACTATCTGATGAACTGTGCTCTTCCACTGACATTCTCTCTTAATTGAAAATCAAGCCATGGAAAAGGGCCATAGACTTGCTGGGCTTTCGGTCAGACAGAGGAGCAAGGAGGGAGATTCATAGTATGTTGATGGAAAGGGGACGTGTTGCTGAATAGTATTGTGCTGGCTACTACGACAGTTACTTGATGTATACGACTTTGTAGCATCTTGTAAAGTCATCCAAGCCCATGCCAGAGCCACCAGGAGCTGTTCTTGTTCTCAGAGCATGCAGGCTTCAAAAGCTGTTGCATTTTGGTGCACTCTCTCATCTGAAACTTGGCTATTCCTGAATTCATAGGAGGAAACTGGTTCCTGTTTTGTTCCCCTCTCGAGGCTGTGATGAAGCTGCGTGTTTCATCAACGCATGGACACATTGTGAGAAGGGAAAGCGAAGGACGGGAAAGGATAGGAAAAGCACATTTTCTGGAACAGGAGTGGCCGCCTAATGGGTAACATCTCATGTGTAATGAAGTCAGAAAAGTGCAAATGCAAAAAGAAAATAATGCTAGTGGCACTGATTCAGGTGGACTGAGAGTGAGGGAAACGAAGAGCAGAGCAACCAGGTAGAAATGCTGAACTCTGTTAGAGTTGACGAAAGATTGGTTTCACGCTAAGATTAGAAAAAACATATTAAGACATTCTAGAAAGGATTAACTTGGAATCAGCAACAGCTTCGAGAGGGACAAGAAGTAACTGCGGCAGAGGCTTCTAACCTGGCACTGAGCGAAGTTTTCAGACCAGTCAGAGGAAGTTAGGAGAGTGCATGAGCACCAAGTGAGCTGAACCCCATTGAATCTGAGGTGAAACAAAAGAAATGTAGGCAACCAAAGGGTCCCATTAATAAATTCAGCTCCACTGTAGGGACAACAAAAGCGTGACAGCATTCACGGAG